ATACCAAGCTGAACAATAAGGACCAAGTCTGTAGTGAGTTTCAATTCTGATGGTAAATACTCCTAGCTAGTTATTATGTTTCGACTCCATAATATGTACTAAACATTACAATATGTACCACTGTATAGTCACTCCCAAGTCTAACTATGCCGATTCTATGGGAAGTGCTAACTGTACAGTCAAGTACTGAGACTATGGTAAATACGAAGCCTGTACTGAGAACCAAGCATAATGGTAAAAACTGATCTGGTGTGTGCCAAGCGTAGCATTAAGCTCCGTGTCTGTGTACCAAGCCCTTCATTAAGTAATGGGACTATGGCAAGTCCTTACTGTACGGTGAACCACTGAGCCTACGGTAAGTACCAAGCTTAACATTAAGGACCAAGTGTGTAGTGGTTTGCAACCCTTACAGTTTAAAGTGATTATGGTAAGTACCGAGACTATGGTAAGTACCATGTTTGTAATCAGAACCAAATCAAATCGTAATTGGTGAGTCTGGTAAGTACCAATAATAGCGTTAAGATCTGTGTCTATGATAGGCACCAAGGCTAACATTTAAGTGCCGAAACTTTGATAATTCCCAAGCTTAAAAAAATAATACTATCTCTTAGTATGTACAAAGCTTAACACTAAGTACAGACTTTATCACAAACATTGATTACCGAGACTATGGTTAGCAGCAAACCTAATGGTAGGTAACTCGGACTATGGTGGATGCAAAAACGTTAATTACTACTCTATAGAAAGTACCAAACGTTATATTAAGTACTGTTATGGTCACAATAGGCTCAGATGTGCCTATAATGAGAGATAGAGAGCACAGTCGGATTTCCGTCAGACGGCTTCAAATATTGATAACGATCTGCTGGCTGACTCAAACGGTGATTTGTAAGTTGGATCTGAAGCGCGTTGCTGTCGTCTATCAGCAGCAAGTTGAATCATAAAATTCCATGAAGATGTGACGACGCTATGGCGGTTTGACTAGCAGGAGGTATAGCAGCCACTATAGTCTTGGAAGTACAACCTTAGCAAGAAGAATTCGAGAGGGAGATGGTTCCCAGCCCCTACATACCCCAAGAGCCAAGGACCAGGTTGGTGGTACACCACCACAGAGTCCCCAACCACGAAGAGTCTTGAAAGCAACCCTCCAAGGGGCTACACCAAGCGAAATGTAACACTACACGAAGTAGCGTTACTATTTTCACTATTTAATATTTATCCGCGTCCCTTGGGCTTGAAATCTTGAGCTCTTGGTCTTGGATCTGCAAGATAAATTCTTCTTGAGTTTATGGGGGCTTGCTGCACACACCTGCGACGCGATGGACACTTCACACTCAACAAAATAGAAAAAAACACATGCGACACACAAACGACGACTTGACATGCGAGTTGTAAAAACTCGCTAATGTCTTGACCGACACAAACAACATTGTGATACACCACTCAAACACACACACGAGCACTGGATAGCAATGACATAGACTCACAATTCATTCCATGCCATGCATGCACACACACAAACAAGGACGACAAGCCGAGTGCAAGCCATAGGGTTGCACCAACAAGTACCACTCCAGGATAATTCCTAAGCCTACCGTTAACTCAGCGAGTCTATGGTAAGTACCAAGCCTCATATCATGTACCGATTCTATTGTGAGCAGCAAGCCAGAAGGTAAGTACCACGACTAGGTGAGTACCAAGCTTCACATTAAGTAAAACCACTATGGTAAGTACCGAATCCAACAGCAAATACTGCTAAGCTAAAAAATAAGTTCCCTGTCTACGATAAGTTCCAAGCTAGTATGTACGGAGCTCAACATTACGTTCTGAACCAAGGCTAAGTACAAAGCCAAGTACCAACTCTATAGCAAATACAAAGCAGAAAGTGTACCGAGTCTAACATTATGTCCGGCTGTATTTTAACTACCACGCCTAACATCAAGTACCAATTCTATAGTAAGTATCAAGCATTAGCTTTAGTTGTGAGCCTATCGCAAGTACAAAGCTAAAAGCTCTGTAGCGAGTCTATGGTTCGTACCAAGCTTAACATTTACTACCGAGTCTATGGTAAGAACTGAGCCCAATGTTATATTACCAAGTCGTTGATCCAAGCCTAACACAAAATACCTAGACTCTGATAACTACCAATCCTACCACAAAAAACCGAGTGTATGGTAAGTGCCAAGTCTAAGATAAAGTACCCAAATTTTGATGTTTCCCAAGCTTCGCACCTAGTTCTGAGTCTATGGTACGTACCAAGGGGAATGGCAAGTACTTACGTAGCGAGTTTACGGTAAGTTGTATGCCTAACGTTTATGCTAAGTACCGAGGGTACGGTAAGTACCAAGCTTAACATTATGTACCTCAGAGTAAGTACCAAGCATAACCTATAATTGGGTCTACGGTTAGTTCCAAGCATCATACTAAGCTCAGCAAATCTGACAAGTACCAGTTCTAACATGAACTACCTACAGTGACGGAAGAAACTGTCCATATGTTGACCCTTTGAGAGGTTAAAAGGCGTGTGTATTTCTTATACAGAGTTTTAAAAACAGGGGGATTTAATATACTAGTGTAGTGCCTCCTGAGCAAGAGGAGCACATGTCATACAGCCTGAAAGGGCATGTTTATAATGCCAAACCAACAACCACATTCATCAAGTCCTATTCGGACACTTTTGGCCAGATTTGAAGAAAGTGTTCAACATTTCAAAATCAGTACCTAGTCCACCTCCCCTTAGCCCTAACCACTGCCTTCACCCTCCTAGGCATGCTGTTGATGAGGCCCCTGCACACATCCGCCCCAATCCCATCCCATGTCTCTTGCACCCGCTCCCAAGTCTGGAGCATCCCCGTGGGGGGGTGCTCATACTTGGCGAGCTCCCTTTTGAGGTGTGCCCACAGGTGCTCTATGGGATTGAGATCAGAGGAGGAGGAGGGCCACTTGAGGACCGCATACGGCTGCTCAGCTAGCCATGCTTGCACAAGGCGGCTCTTGTGCTTGGGGTCGTTGTCATGCTGAAAAATGACATCCGAGGGGGTTAGACTATAGAAATCGATAGTTTGAGCAAGCTCATCATGCAATATACTCCTGTACAGCTCCCCATCCATGCGGCCGTCAATCTTGCACATATACCCCGGGCCATCATAAGTCATGCACCCCCATACCATCAATGACCCGCCCCCATGCTTGACGGTTTGTTGAATCTGGGCCGCCCCGTCGCGAATCCATGCGTACTTGCGGCCATCACTAGACAAGCAGTTGATTTTGGTCTCGTCGGACCATATCACCCGCTTCCAGTCTTCAATGGTCCAGTCAACGTGCGCCTTGGCGAAGTCGAGGCGGTCTTTGATGTTTCGGGCAGATAGTCGCAGCTTCTTCGGTTTCTGCACGGCTACTAAACCGGAGTTCTTCAGGGCGTTGCACACGGTTCTAGGGCATATCTTGATGTCGTGCTCTGATTCTAGAAGTTTCGCGGCTTCTATGCTACTCTTCGCATGGCCAGAAGTGACGGCTCGCACCAGTGAGCGCCTATCACGAACCGAGAGTACGCACGGTCGGCCGTTCCTAGGAACAATCGGCCTGACCGCTAGGCTGCTCGTGCGCTGGGAGGGTTCGCGTGCGTATTTCTGTACCGTGCTTTTCCCTATTCCTAATGCTTTAGCGATTTGACGAAGACTCTGGCCCTGTCAAAGCAGTGTCGCGATCCTATCTTTCTGGCTCGAAAGAAGCGGTCGCATTGTCGCTGGGGGCTTGGCGTAGGTGCCGCTGTACTATCGAGGGAAAAAAGGAAGCGTTGGTTGCGAGGATGCGTAATGCAGGCAGGAAATAGATCTGGACTCGAAGTTGGCCTAAAGTGTCCGCATCGAGTAACGAGCACTTATTATTGTACTCTTTACAATAAACTCGATAAAAGTTACAACACCCAAGTGCATAGAGAAGCTCAGGTCAAGAGGCACAATATGTAATCTGTTGTGGTTGGGTTTTGACAACATACAATGCCAGAATCACAAAGTTTATGTACTGCAGTGGATTAATAAGCCCATTTATTTCCGTCACTGTAGTTTATGGTTTGTATCGGGCCTATGGTTGATTACAGAGACTTGTAGAAGTATAAATTCAAACATTAAGTACCAACTATACGATTAGTACCTTCACGGAAGCTGATAAGCGTGATCCGGAGCGCCGAGGCCACTATGAATAGAGGAATCCGCGTTACTCCAATGGCACCCCTACAGGCAGAAATGGAGCAAATTCAACATCGATGCTGAGTAGCTGAAATGGCATTAACATCAATGAAGCTGTTACCTCACAACGGCGGAAGGAGAATGTTGGAGCCGACATCAACGTCATCAACTGATCCATTGGAAATGGAAGAGAAATCAAATAGGTTGAGCGCAGAAATCCTCATATTTCCTCAACTACGACCATGGATTTGTGCTCTATCGATGAGCATGGCGACATCCTCCACTACTATCATTTGGCAACCAGTCTCCTTGCAACGACATGCCACAGTTACGGTGTTAGTATGCTATACCGACCGTTACAGGACTGCTACATCAACCTTGAACGCTTGGTGGTTTCTACACCACATGGAGCAGTTATCATCATTACAGCATGCTACCGTGCAGCTGAATTCTATTGACCGCAACTCAGGCACGGACTTATCACCATTCACTACGCTACTCTGCAGCCTGATTTGGAGCGTCACATGTCCCAAAACTTTTGTCGTGGGATACCTGCCACAATACCTACACTTGTACAGGCCTACGAGTGTGTGAAATGAAGTACAGAGGAGCTGTTGTTGAAGCACAACTTTGTTGACTTGATTTTCTCTGCCTCACAACCCTCAGTGTTTGCTGAAAAACTGGGTGCTTTCAGCGTCTACCCAGTTTGCTGAAAAACTGGGTGCTTGCCGAATCTTTGATCACAACCATTTGCTATTTGTTATTTATTGTGTGTTGTTCTGTGTGTTTTTCCTTTTCTGGAAATCCCTACACTCTTCCTCTACACATTGATATATTTTACATATATCATATGTGTTACGGAGTGTTTTGGACTTTCCTTGCGTGACACGTTTTCTATTGTGTAGAGTGTTCCGTCACCACCACCGTATCTCTAGAATCCTTACCGTGCTTGTAGATGGCGTTCTTACAGATGGTTCCACACATTTCTAGAACTCTCTTAGGTATAAGTAGGATTGACTCTTTGCTTGAATCCGGGTTCAATTCTTGTCAGTCATTCATTCAAGCTTCCGCTAAATCCTGGACCTGTGACAAGATCCATGCCGGGGTTTGCTCTAACCTGATCAACAACATGCCTAGGAGGGTGCAGGTGGTGATCAAGGCCAAGGGTCGGTGGACTAGGTGCTAGAAAAAATGTTCAGAAGTTTGCTCTTTATCCGGGGAAACAATTGTCCGGGTGTACTCTTTGTATATCTTTTGGAGTATGAGTTGGATTCATTGAAATTTTCTGGATTTTAGTGCTGTGAAAACATCCACTATGTGCCCCTCCCAAAGCATACCACCATTAAATATTAAGGCTAAATGTACAGTGGCCATAAAGCATAATAACCCTTATTTAATGCAAACATCCGGACAATTATTTCCGTCACTAAAATAAAAACATTACGCTTGGGTGTCTACCATTACACTGGTTGGAAATAAGGGACGTGATGGATTCGTTGCGGTGAGACCACTTCGATCATCTCTATGTGGCCACGGTGGCTGATTGGGCATTTTTAACCTCTAGTAAAACCTGTTATGCATGCATCAAATAATCTATATTGTTTAGCCTTATCATCCTTCCCCCAACTCCTTGAATAAGGGTTGCAAACAATTGTGTTTTCTTGCGCCTACCAACTCACATCCCAAATGCACTCTCATCATCCTACACCATGCTCATTAGGTCAACTGCAGTCATGGCTTTCGTAGATGCATTATCAGAGTTGGGAAAATCATACAAGCGGTTGTTAGCCTACAAGGTTTGTGGGCACCTACTAAAATTTTAAGGCCAATACCAAACTCTAGTTAAGCCATTGAATGACACTTGAAGAATCACTAGATGCAAGATCTCAATTGACGGATGGTATGTGTCGTGACGCCAAATGATTCCGCTACTCGTTATGGACGTGGTTAGCTCTAGCAAAATAACTAGTTTTTTATTGGTCGAGCTCATTTGAGAGGGCATAAGCAGGGTGGGGGACAGTATTTTTATTCAAGTAATATTGGATAACCACGGTTACAACAAGGGCATTCAACATCCTGGACGAAGGTTTCCCTAGTATTTTCTATTACAACCATACAGCCCATTGTCTGGACCTCATCTTGCTTCAGAATATGGGTGAGTTTAACATAGTGAAGAGAGTTCTCACCCAAGTACAGCAATTGCTATAGATGGTCAAGATACGCACGAGTGCCATGACTCGCTTTTGGGAGGTGCTTCACAAGTTCAAGTTGGTGCAGCCAGGAGCAACCAGGTTTGGGGCAATGGGGTGATCATGCTCACCCACTTCTTGGAGGTCAAAGGTGTTAGAAATTGAATGCAAATCCCACTTTTGTATTTGTACTTCTATATCCTAGTTTAGGTTACGAATGTTCTAGTGGGTTGGGGTGTACTCACAAAATCCCAACCTCACCCAATTGTGATCCCCCCAATCTCCAATTACCCAATCGGAGATTCCGGAGATCCGAGTGGGGATTCCCTCCGATTCCCCCATCATCCATTCTCTCTCACCTTGCCATGTACTTATACAGCCTTGGGCTCCTTACCTAATCAACCATTTCAGCTCTATTTCTTACATGGTATAAGAGCGACCTATCAGTATACGCAGATCAAGGTCCTAATCTTAACGTGCCGGCGCTACGCGCACCTCATCGTCGCGACGCTCGTCTGGAGTCGTCAGAATTTTTTACGTGCTCAACTCTGTAGTCACGCCTCTCATCATCAACCGCCTTCACGCTCGAACTCGTTGAATTTCTCATCTCAAAAGCTTTCACGCTTCTCATCGCCGATTTCCTGCTGGATTCTCCTTGGTCGAATCTCAATTTCGACCAACTCTTAAAACTCGTTTTCGAGTTTCCCCTCAGACCCCGTCGGAATAGGCGAATTCCCTCGTGGAATCGCCTCCATGAACATCATGCGTCAAGCAAGAGCAGGTACACAAGTGGAAGCGGAGCGGAGCTAGATGCGAAGCTGGTTGCGGAGCTGTTTGCGGAGCTGGTTGTGGAGCTGTGTAGCTGCGGGATAGGGCCTGGGGGTGTGTGGGGGGGTGTGTGGGTCCGGGGTTAGTTATAGTCTCAGATTCAGTTTCAAGTCGGCGTTTTAACTAATTTCCACTGACGCCATTTCCATTTTAGCAACATTTCAACAAAGCCGCCAGAGTGATTTTCAGAAATTCTCGTTGACCCATTTCAAGAAGTGCCGCGCTGCGCACCGAAGTTCCTATTGGTCCCTTAAGAGCGTCGCTTCGCGAAAATCAAGCGGCAACGGCTTACTCAA